GATCATCACACAGTCAGCCAGATGTTCAGACTGGATTTGGCATTTTGTCTACCTACCGAGTCCTTACCCAGGACCTGGGATAGGCAGATGTGGATGTTTCATCATTGTTCTTCAGATATTCTTCCAAAGCCATTTTTTCTTCTTCAACCATCTGATGTACTTGTAGCATTCCATGCCCACCTATCTGCCTTGGTAGATAAAGTCTGTCAATGTCACTGCGTGGATGAAGGGCATGATTCATTGTCATTATTTTTCTGGTCTTTCTATCCATTGCTTTTAGTTCTGGTTGAGTCCAGTCCACTATTCCAGCTGTGTACCTAATGACTGGAATTGCCCAGGTGTTGATTGCCTTTATGGTATTTCCTCCGTTGAGTTTGGACTTTAAGATCTTCTTCACTCTCTTGATGTATTCACCTCTAATCTTTTTCTTGATTTCAGTGTGCTTGATGTTGTCAGCTTGAAGGATACCCAAGTATTTGTAGTAATCTTCCTCATCCAGACTCTTAATGTTATTTTCGTGGGGCATCTTGATTCCTTCAGTTTTCACTACTTTTCCTTGTTTGATAATAAGTGTGGCACACTTGTCCAAGCCAAACTCCATTTCCATTATTTTTGTTTATTTTTTATCACTGTAGTTGCTATATAGAAATTGACCTATGTGAAATTACAGGTAGTCCTAGACTTAACAACAGTTCATTTAGTGACCATTCCAAGTTACAACAGCACTGAAAAAAGTGATTTATGACCATTTTTCACACTTACTACTATTGTAGCATCCCCATGGTCATGTGATTAAAATTCAGACACTTGGCAACTGACTCATATAACAGAATAACAGAGTTGTAAGGGACCTTGGAGGTCTTCTACTCCAACCCCCTGCTCAGGCAGGAAACCCTATACCATATCATACAAATGGTTGTCCAATCTCTTCTTAAAAACTTCCTGTGTTGCAGCATTCACAACATCTGGAGGCAGGTGTTTCCATTGATTAATTGTTCTAACAGGAAATTTCTCCTTAATTCTAGGTTGCTTCTCTCTTTAGTTAGTTTCCATTCCATTGCTTCCTGTCCTGCCCTCAGAACAAGAACTTGACTCTCTCTTCTCTGTGGCAGACCCTGAGATATTGGAACACTGCTATCATGTCACCCCTAGTCCTTCCCTTCATTAAACTAGACATACCCAATTCCAGCAATCGTTCCTTATATGTTTTAGCCTCCAGTCCCCTAATCATCTTTGTTGCTCTTCTCTGCATGCTTTCTAACTTTCAACATTTTTTTACATCGTGGTGACCAAAACTGGATGCAGTATTTCAAGTGTGGCCTTACCAAGGCAATATAAAGTGGTATTAACACTTCACGTGATCTTGATTCTATCCCCCTGTTAATGCAGCCTAAAACTGCGTTGGCTATTTTGGCAGCTGCAGCACACTGCTGGCTCATATTTAAGTGATTGTCCACTAGGACTCCGAGATCTCTCTCATGGTTACTACTATTGAGCCAGATACCACCTATACTATACCTGTGCATTTGTTTTTTCTTGCCTAAATGTAAAACCTTACTTTTTTAACCACTGAATTTCATTTTGTTAGATAGGGCCCAATGTTCAAGTCTGTCAAGATCCTTCTATATCTTAAGCCTATCTTCTGGAGTGTTGGCTATTCCTCCAGCTTGGTGTCATCTGCAAATTTAATGAGTTGCCCATCTATTCCCTCATCCAAATCATTGATGAAGATGAAGAGTACTGGGCCTAAAACAGAGCCTTTTGAAACCTTCTGACAAGCAAAGTCAATGGAAAATACAAAATCACTTAACAATGGTATTACCAACTTAACAACTGCAATGATTCAGTTATTCTGTGGCAAAAGAGGTTGTAAAATGGGAAAAAAACCTCACTTAACAGCTATCTCTCTTTGCAACAGAAATTTTGGGCTCAATTGTGGTCTTACATCAAGGATTACTTTTACAGAGCATTATGTATAGCTGTCAGGTCCACCAGGGTTTCTGGCATTCTTTGCATACTTTCACTTTTGTTGTAACTGGTGGGGAATTAGGGAGGGGGATTGTCTTTGGAGAAGAAACAGACTCCTTCCTAGCCAGTTCCCACCTACTCCCAAGGCCATCATGCCCTGAGAGTGATCTGTTATTTACCTAGCACCTCATATGAACTCTCTTTCCAGTGGCCTATGGACTGTGCTATAGAAATCCTCCTGAGGGCTAAGCTACCAAAACCAAAACTGTATTTGATGACCCCACAGGAGCTGGAGGAATTGTGGCTGTTTATGGACAAGAATCTTGCACTAACCAGTGTGACCGGGTGGCGGCCCCGGTTCTGTTCCGAGAAAAGAAAGATGGGACCCTTCATCTAGAGGGGTTAATGCAGTGTGTGTGAAGAATGCCTATCTCTTAACCCTAATGGAGGACATATTAGCCCACTTGGCTAAGGACAGAATATTTACTAATCTGGACTTGCGGAAGGCTTACTACCATTTGAGAATCAGGGATGGGGATCAATAGAAAACTACTTCCAATTGCCCACTGGCTTGTTTCCAGTTCAAGGCACTCCTTTTTGGGCTGCAGGAAACCTCTGCTATGTTCATGCAATTAATCAATGAAGTTCCGCATGAGCACTTGTATAAGGGGGTACTTGCATAACATTTTGATTTATACTGAAACAAAAGTGGAGTATGTGAAGCTAGTAAGGGCAGTCCTGTACAAACTACAAGCTGCCAAATTGTACACCAAACTCTCTAAATGCAAATTTCACAATAGAATACCTGGGCTATCGCATCCCACATGGGATTATTGAGATGGACCTTCAGAAGGTCAAAACGGTGTTGAAGTGGGCTCTGTCCCGAACTAGGAAGCAACTGCAAAGTTTCCTGGTCTTTGCTAACTTTTATCGACAATTCATTCCATTCTTTGCCCAAACACCCCTCCCCATTATGAACCTGTTAAAGACCAAAGGGAGGGGGGAAACAAGCCTAAACTCAGTCAACCTCTAAAATGGACAATGAAAGCACAAACAACTGTTTGTAGCTGAACCTGTTCTAAAGGACTCCAACCCGAGGGCTCCATTTGTCATTCAAGCAGATGCTAGAGACATAGCTGTAGGGGCTTCCTGTTACAGAAGAATGAGAGTGGCCAGCTGCAACCATGCCCATACACCTCTAGGAAACTATCAGAGACTGAGCAAAGGTGGGCTGTGTGGGAGAAGGAGGTGTACGTAGTATGCTGGGCGTTCTTGACTTTGAGGCACTTCCTAGAAAGAAGTAAAATACCTTTCGAAGTTTGGATCAATCAAAAAAATCTGGAGGCATTAAAAATCCCATGGAATAATCTCCAAAGCAAGTGTGATGAGTGCAACATGTTAACCACTTCGACTTCATGTTTTATTACCTCCTGGGGAAAAAAATTTCCTAGCTGATGCACTATTGCGTATGCCCCAATACAACTGCCCAAAAGCCGATAGTCAAACCAGTACTCCTGTCCCACCAGTTAACCAGCCAAGTGACTACACGAGGAAAGTGAAGGGAAGGCCGCCAATAGACAATGGAGTGGCTGCAGCCCTTAAGGCCATGCTCAAAGAAGACCAGTGATTTCAAAGTCATGCAAATGTCTGCTCGATCCAAGATGGGCTAGCTTGGATAGGGGGTAAGCTTTATGTACCAGAAGCCCAAAGATTGATGGTTTTTGAGAAAAGCCACAATTCTAAAGTGGTGGGACATTTTGGTTTTGAAAAAAGGTTACACCTGATTAAGAAGACAATTTTGGTGGCCATCCCTCAAAAAGGACATTGAAAGCTATGTGGCAAGCTGCCCTGTCTGTATGTCAGTCAAACAAAGACAAGGGGAAACCCTGGGACTCTTTCAGATCATAGCCCAGCTGTCAGTATCACGGAGACAGATCTCCATGGATTCCATTGTAGAACTCCTCGAAAGCTTGAGAAACACCATTATATGGGTTGTGATTTGTTTTCTAAACAAGTACACTTTGTTCCGTGTCCAAAAATCCCATTGGCACAGGGATTAGCCAAATTATTTTTACTCTGTATTTACTGATTACATGGGGCACCTCAGTGCATCATTTTGGACAGAAGGGTGCAATTTACTTCCACATTTTGGTGGGCCTTCCTTAACTTGGGACTGATCAGGGGCTCAGTTCCAGTCATCATCCCCAAACAAATGGGGGGTGTGAATGAACGAACTCACTATTGGAACAATACCTCAGATTCTTTATTCATCATCAACAAGATGATTGGATTGTCTTGTTGCCTTTTGCAGAAGTGGCTTACAACAATTCTGTACATAGTAGCACAGGATCCACCCCTTTCAGGGTGGTCTTGGGTCAAGACTTTACTACTATGGCTGAACTGTCCCTGAATGATCCTCTGGTGGCGTTGTTAAAAGAATGGGTTTCCCAATTATGAAATACATGGCCTGTTGTGCAAAAAACTCTTGAAGATGCCTGGGCTTACAAAGCTCAAGCCGACAAGAAAAGCACAGAACCCAAACCATTCAAAATTGGTGATCGTGTCTACCTCTCCAAATATTACCTATAGTCTTTGCAACCATTGAAAAAGCTAGGATCCAAGTTCATGGGGGCCTTTCCCATCAAATGTATCATAAACTCTGTGACTGTGGAGTTAGAATTGCCAAAATCACTGCATAGGGTCCATACTGCATTCCACTGTAGTCTATTAAAACCTGAGGCTGTTTCTCCCCTTAGACCAAGCCTTCCACCACCTCCTGAGCCAATAATGGTCGAGGGGGAGCAACATTTTGATATTCGTGAAATTTTAGATTCCCACAGGCATAGGGGAGAACTCCAATACTTGGTTACGTAAAAGGATTTCTCCAAAACTCAAAATGAGTGGGTGAATCACTATCACATTAAAGCTTCCAGACTTGTAAAATATTTTCATAACCAATACCCTAATAACCTAAATGAGTTTTCCATTAATCTCATTTTCTCTTTCTCTATTTATTATGTTTTCTTTTGCAGGACTAACGTTGTTCTTTCAGGGCACAGCATGTCAGGTCCACTATGCTGGTGTCCTGTCATTCTGTTGGAGAGGAAGGAGGAAGGTTTCTGGCATTCTGTAAGTAACTGCCTCAATCAGTTCTCCCCAAAAAGCAGAACTCTTGAAACTGCATCATTTCAAAAGGAACTTTTATTGGGAGATGTTGATAGCAGGAATAGAAGGCAGGGTTTGAGGGTTTCTCACGTGAATCAGTAAGTCAAGAGTCAATGGTAACCCCACCCCAACCGTCCATCTGGATGGTTCAAACAGGCCAATCCGCGGGTGTGAAGGCGCCGTGGGAACAGAGTGAAAAAGCACTGCTTCCAAGGCTGTTAAGTCTCTGCACCACTTCTTCCACACCCGGAGATAAGGCAGATGGCCAGAGGCATATTCCATTCTCACCAAAGAGGACAGAGCAAGGAACAAAGTAAAGGAAACACACATTAGCAACCCCAGGCTTCCCCCTCCCACCCAGGAGAATGGCAGAACCCGAAAGAACAAGAAACCCCATGCCCATAGAAAGATAGGGTTCTAACACATTCTTTGCATGCTTTCACTTTTGCTGTAATCACATGGGAATTAGGAAGAGGGATTGTTTTCAGAGAAGAAACAGACTCCTTCCCAGCCAGTTCCCGTCTGCTTCCAAGGCCATCGTGCCCTGAGAATGATCTGTTATCTACCCAGCACCTCAGCATTCTCATAACATTCCTACAACATCACATTGGCTGCTGGTGGATTGGTTAGGGGGATTGGGTTTGTGGAAAACAAAATAATTGTTTGGCGCTTTGTGTGGAAACTGACTTCTCTGCAACCACTATCTCTCAATATGTGATGACTCAGGGCCCCGAACGGAGGAAAAGCAATTAGCTGGTCAAAACAATTGTCTTTGTAAGCACTGCCAACGTTCACTCAACAGCCCCCACATATGCTGGCACAAGTTCAATAAAATAGGGAAATTTACACGATTCTTTAAAGAATAACAGATAACAAGCAAACGTATAATCCTTTCAACTCCCAGCTTGCCTGTGAACTGCAAGCTGCAAACCACAGACAGCAAGGAAAAATAAGCAGGAAGCAAATTTGGTCCAAAATACAAAGTGTCCAGGTACAAGAGCACACTATCACAAGAGTTCATGTTTGTTCCCGGCAAATGCTCCACCCCACAGCATCTCCTTAAATCCTACTCCCCAGGTGTGCCTTGTGAAGTGGGGCGTGACACTCTCCTCCCGAGCAAGTGAGCCTGTCTCCATTGTTCCCTCCTCCTCTCTGCTCTCCTTGCTCTGGGATCTGGTGGGGAGGGGCCTTGCTCCTCACCTGAGCTCTGCCTTCCCTGTTCCAAACTTGAAGGGCCCTGGCCTGCTTCAGCCTGCTCCTCCCCACAGTCCTCCGAAGCCACAAACACCCCCTCCTGGGCCTCAACAGGGAACTCCTCAGAGTCAGGCTTGGATGGAGGCATGACATAATAAAAGTGCTTTTGGTTAAACCTCAATGGAGTCAAGAGTTTTACTTTCCTGAAGGACCAGCTGGAGCAGGTACTTACAATAGCACAGACATGTCAAACACAAGGCCCAGGGGCCGGATGCGGCCCACAAAGTGGTTTCATGTGGTCCACGAAGCCATCCTGGAAACAGTGAGGGAATGGCCCCCACTGCCTTGGCCCTGGCCCAGGCTGGCCAGGAGCCAATGTACAATTTTGTGGTGGCCATATATGCTGAAACACATTCAGTCTTAGCTCCACAAGGCCATCTGGAAATAGCGAGGAACCAGCCTCTGCTGCATTGGCCTCACCCCCTGCTGCATGCTGGGGAGGTGTCACCATGTGTGAGGAATGAAGAAATGCACCATCGCCTAGCCAGCAAATGGCCATCGCCAACCTCACATATCTGGCTTGATGGGCTCTGGGGGAGGGATTTCAGCAGGCAGCAGGGCGCTCTCCTCACAGCGTTGAGAGACTGAGCCAGGCGGCACAAATCCAAAAAGAAATGCGAGGCTGCCCAGCTCCCAGCCTGCCTGGTTTCAGTAGGCAGTGGGGTGCTCTCCTCACAGCACCAAGAGCTAAGCCAGGTGGCGCGAATCTGATAAGTGCAATGCTGCCTAGCCTCCAGCCTGCCCAGTTTCAGCAGGCAGCAAGGTGCAAAGCTGGTGAGCTTCGCACCACCTGGCTCAACCTCTTGACGCTGTGAGGAGAGCGCCTCACTGCCTGCTGAAACCAGGGAGGCTGTGGGCTGGGCGGCATCGTGCTTCTTTTTGGATTTGTGCCGCCCAGTTCAGCCTCTTGGCACTATGAGGAAAATGCCCCGCTGCCTGCCGAAACCGGGCAGGCTGGCGGCTGGGCAGCATTGCGCAGGTAACATTGACTCTCATGCTGCTCATGGCATTCCCTCCCCCACAGCTCACCAAAACAGATATGTGAAGTAGGTGAGGGTCATGTGCTGGCCACCTCCAGGCGATGGTGCATTTCTTCATTCCTCACAAAGGGTGACACCTCCCCAGCTGTGTTTCTTGCCTGTTTTTCTTCCTCCCTCATCTCAAATATTTTCCCACCACTCTGTACTTAGGAAGGAAGAAAGAAAAGAAGGAAAGAAGGAAAGAAGGAGAGGGAGAGTCTGAGGGAAGACCTGCCTTAGTCCTGCCCTGCTGCCCTTTCATCATCCCCTTGCCCCCTCCTCCAGGCCTATCCTGGGGGGTCTCCCATCCTATTGCTAAGGAAGCTTTGGATACAAAGCCAGGTCTCCTCCCATGGAGAGGGAATGGGCCTCCCTCTGACTTTGCCCTCGTACCCATGAAAAGCAACCTGGTTAAGGAGAGCAAGCACAGCAGCAGCAGCCTTGAGGAGGAGGTAAGTGCGGCTGGGTGCCCCCCTTGGGGAAGTGGGGCTGGGCTTGGTGCTGCGGGTGCTCGAGGGCCAGGCTGGGCATTTGACCTCTGCTGTCCAGGGCTCCCGGCAGCCCGCACCACCATCCATCCCCCCCCCCCGCATGGCCTGAGAGGAACAGTGAGGCTCCTCCAGTGGACCATGCCTTGGCACTTGCCCTGGTCCCACTCCCTTCTGCCAGAGTCCCTCAGATCTATCCCACTGCTACCCAGGCCCCCACATGCACCCTTGACGTGAATGATATAGAGCTGGCCATGCCCATCCAGTAGGCCACACGCACTCCATCCACACCCACACAGTAGGCCGCACCCACCCTGGCCACACCCACCCAGCCCCCCAAGGGTAACCACAATGCTGATGCGGCCCTCAATGAAATTGAGTTTGATACCCCTGCAATAGCAGGTCTCTATGTAAGCAATGCCCAAATACATGGGGTTAGAGAGGAGGCACCAGTTCTGGAAGTGTTCATAATTTTGCCTACTGCTGTTAGCATATGCTCCTCATTGGAAAGCCACAGAAACAAGAGACTATCTGCCCAAAGCACAAAGAAAGGAGGTCTACCTTAATGTGGTATTGAAAACCTTGATATTAAATCATATTATAAATAAAAAGAAATGTTCTATCTTTCTGTCGGCCTAGATTGCCATCTGGCTTTCTAAACACGGTTGTTCCTGTGAGGGTTTTAAAAATTACTGAGATTAATCAAGCTTTAGAACCAAGTTATATTATTTCCCACCCATCTTCCTGAAGTATATCACATATATTTTAGTAAGCCAGTCAGACAAAAAATTTGAACATGTGCAAAACTGTTCAGTCCTTTTCTAGAATGCTATATATAATATCCTAGTGCTTCTCAATAACCTATGCGTAAAAACAGTCTTAAAATAATGCAGCTATCTGGCCATGACAATATAGAGTGATAATTCTATGAAACCAGTTACAAAAAATCAAAAAAGCTAAAGAACGCGCAATGCCAAAATCCTCTTTCCCTTTGAATCATTTCCATCATTCCTTTATTCTGAAAACTGGTTTTTTTCACTTGTATTTGGTATGCTCTTTTCGGCCAAGAACCCCATTAAGTAATATAACCCATATGTGTATAACAATTCCAGTTCTGTACAAAGCTGATTTATAAGTTCCAACTAGTACGTATAACATTTTGATTGCTTTAATACCTAGAGACATACAAGATGAGTGGATGGCTTTTAGCTTTGGCCAAAATACCAATTTTTGGTGAGTTTTTAAAAATTAAGTTATGCTTCATTCGATAGTATTATTTTCTCCAGCTGCAGCAATGATGATAATGACAGTATGATGTAGAGAAAATTAAAAGTTGTCCTTTAACAGACAAAATAAAAAAACTTTACCACCGTAGCTCAATGTTTATTCAAATCCTTGTGAAACCTTTTAGGGACTCTTTACAAAGTTACACTGCATTCTCATGGGTATACAATAAGCTCTCTCTATAGTTTGAGGAATAAACTATATCATGCAAAACTTGATATATTTAGAAACAATTTTAACAATTTCTCTTTAAGATTAAGCTTAGTCTAGCTGCTCAAGAGTGCAAAAGAATAGGATACACAAGCATATTCTGTCTGATTTTTTAATTGGGTTTGTATATCAGTTCCAATATTTTTGAACTTCAAGAATAGTAAAACCTGAAAAAAAAATTGTTCTTGACCAGTAATATATAGTTTTCAGACATCTCTGTGTATAAGGCTGCTGAAAAAAAAAAAGACAACAAAACTCTTTTCTTGCATATCCTCATGAATGCACTATGGGATTTTTTTACAAATTAGGTGTAACAGAGACTTCTCTATTACTTATACAATCCATGGTTAGAAGCATAACTTACAAGGAAGAATCAACATAACTAAATAAAATTAGGTTGCTATCCTCAATTAAAAATACCTGCTTTTTCACCTATTAAAATAACAATTCTTACTGTGTGTGTGTGTGTGTGTGTGTGTGTGTGTGTGTGTGTGTGTGTGCGTGTGTGTGTGTAGCCAGTTTGGTTTAATGGTTAAGATACCAGACTAGACACAAGGAGATTGTGAGTTCTAGTCCCACTTTAGGCAGGAAAGCCGGCTCAGTGACTTTGGGTCAGTCATTCTCTCAGCCCAACCTACCTCAAGGGATAGTTGTTGTGGGGAAAATAAGAGAAGGGAGGAGTATGTTCATCACCTTGAGTTATTTATAAAAATAATAAAAATGGGATATAAACTATGAAGAATAAAAAAGCATGTTGATTCTATATTTATAGTTTAAAAATCTACCTGTTCCTGAAGACTGAAGTTCATATAGCTTGATTTGGGTTGAGTGCTTGGCTCAGTACTTATAACAGGAAGAGAAATCTGCAGAACACAATCAGAATCAATCTTTTTATGTAACATGATCAGAAGAAGCAATAGTTAGATAAATAAATATGAGGCTGAAGTTTTAACTTGAATTTTAAACTTGCAGAATATTTTAGAATAGTTTTCTAAATTTCTACTTTTCAGTGAAGTAGGAATTCAAAAGAAAAATGAATAAATATAATAAATATTTAAACAGGAAACCAAACTTTGGTTTAAAAAGAAGCAAATTTTGTTATGTGGACCAGAATATGAATTCCATTGACCCTGGAAAATGATAGACAGAAGTCAAGGAATGTGAGAAAACATAAGATATAGAAGAAAAATTGTCACCAAATGGCAACTTGTGGAAATACTTCCTGAATAACTAACATAAAATTAACAAGATCAATACTGTTCTTAGTATTTCCATACTGATCAACCTCTTTTTTGTTGTTAGTCTTTTTAGTATTTATTTAAACAAAAATATAGCTGCAAACTTACAATTAGGATTTTTAATTTACCCAAATTTACAAGTGAAAGTATTGTTTGTCTACTGGATTCTACATAACTACAGGTAGTCCTCAACATGACCACAACTGAGCCCAAAATTTCTCTTGTTAAGTGAGACATTTGCTAAATGAGTTTTGCCCCATTTTAAGATCTTTCTTGCTTCAGTTGTTAAGTGAATCATTGTAGTTGATAAATTAATAAGTCAGTTGTTAAGTTAATCTTGCTTCCCCACTGATTTTGCTTGTCAGAAGGTCGCAAAAGATGATCACATGATCTTGGGACACAGCAATGGTCATGAATATGAGCCAGTTGCTAAGCATTTGAATTTGATCACATGACCATGGGATGCTGCAAAGGTCATAACTGTGAAAAACAGTCATAAATCACTTTTTTCAGTGTTGTTCTAACATTGAATGGTCACTAAATGTTGTAAGCTGAGGACTACCTGTATTCCGGAATGCCCAATATTTTTGGCTGATAGAAATAATGGATGTTTGAAGAGTTTGATGTGAACTGAAGGGCTGCTGAGGAAGTCTTTTGCTTACCCAGTTAGAAAAAAATCTAGTGGTGGTGTTACCATTCTTAAAACAAAAGAAATCAGTGTGATCCAGATATTGGTCAGTAGCCCTCAATCATATTATTATTTCAAAAATAAAGTAAATTCTAGTGTTCTGCATAAATTAGACACATACTTTTAAAAGATTATTTCCAATAACAAAACAATCTTGAGAAGGGCCTTTAATGGGTACTATGTGAACCCTTCAATTCTTCAGAATTTATTAAGCCTAACATTGTTCTGAGTTTTTTGGTTCTTTGCTATTTTCCACTTATAATCTACTTTTTCCTCTCAGGTTTATTTTTAGGCTACAATAACTAAGTTTTGCAAACAATGACTGAACTTGTTCTGATAGGCTGAAATAGTAGTAGTCTGAAAATATTGCGTGTCATAAAAGGCATCACAATCAAGTGAAATTTATGCATCCTTATAGATTCTACTATTTTTGTTGGTTTTTTATTTTTTGTCTATCAGTTTTTATTCCTGACAAGCAACTGGACAAGTTCTATACAGTTTTCCTGGCAGGAAGTAGTTTGCAATGAAAGTGAATGGCCCTTAGTTGGCTTTGTGATTAAGACAGGACTAGAACTTACTGTTTCCTGGTTTTTTGCTTGGTGCTTTACTATAGTATTTTTATACTATTATATATAAATTAATATATAATATAAATTATATATATAAATATATAATATTTATATATATAAATTTATATATATAAATTAACCCCTTTATGGATTACTGCCTTGTCGTGGCGAAGGGGCTTGCGTAACTCAATGAAGCTATAAGCTATGCCGTGCAGGGCCACCCAAGATGGACAGGTTATAGCAGAGAGTTCTGACAAAATGTGATCCACTGGAGAAGGAAATGGCAAACCACTCCAGTATCTTTGCCATGAAAACCCCATGGACAGTACTAAAAGGCAAAAAAGATATGACGCTGGAAGATGAGCCCCTCAGGTCGGAAGGTGTCCAATATGCTACTGGGGAAGAGCAGAGGGCTAGTACTAGTAGCGCCAGAAAGAATGAAGCGACTGGGCCAAAGCCGAAAGGACGCTCAGCTGTGGATATATCTGGTGGTGAAAGGAAAGTCCGATGCTGTAAAGATTTTTTCTCCATAGGAACCTGGAATGTAAGATCCATGAATCAAGGCAAGCTAGACGTAGTCAAAAAAGAGATGACAAGACTGAACATCGACATCTTAGGAATCAGCGAACTAAAATGGACAGGAATGGGTGAATTTAACTCAGATGACCATCAGGTATACTACTGTGGGCAAGAATCCCTCAGAAGAAATGGAGTAGCCTTCATAGTCAATAAAAGAATAGGAAAAGCAATACTGGGATACAATCCCCAAAATGACAGAATGATCTCAATTCGAATCCAAGGCAAACCATTCAATATCACAATAGTCCAAATCTATGCCCCAACCACTGGTGCTGAAGAGGATGAAATTGACCAGTTTTATGAAGCCCTACAGCACCTTATAGAATTAACACCAAAAAATGATGTCCTTATCATCATGGGGGATTGGAATGCTAAGGTAGGAAGCCAAAAGATAACCGGAATAACAGGCAAGTTTGGCCTTGGAGTACAAAATGAAGCAGGGCACAGGCTAATAGAATTTTGTCAAGAGAATACGATGGTCATAACAAACACTCTTTTCCAACAACCCAAGAGACGGCTCTACACATGGACATCACCAGACGGTCAACATAGAAATCAGATTGACTATGTGCTCTGCAGCCAAAGATGGAGAAGCTCTATACAGTCAGTAAAAACAAGACCAGGAGCTGACTGTGGCTCAGATCATGAGCTTCTCATTGCAAAATTTAGGCTTAAATTGAAAAAAGTAGGGAAAAGCACTAGGCCACTCAGGTATGAACTAAATCATATTCCTGATGAATATACAGTAGAGGTGACAAATAGATTTAAGGAATTAGATCTGATAGACAGAGTGCCTGAAGAACTATGGATGGAAGTTCGCAACATTGTACAAGAGGTAGCAACTAAAACCATCCCAAAGAAAAAGAAATGCAAGAAAGCAAAATGGCTGTCTGAGGAAGCTTTGCAAATAGCTGAGGAAAGAAGGGAAGCGAAAGACAAGGGAGAAAGAGAAAGATACACCCAATTGAATGCAGAATTCCAGAGAATAGCTAGAAGAGATAAGAATGCCTTCTTAAATGAACAGTGCAAAGAAATAGAAGAAAACAACAGAATAGGGAGGACCAGAGATCTCTTCAAGAAAATTGGAGATATGAAGGGAACATTTCATGCAAAGATGGGCATGATAAAGGACCAAAATGGCAGAGACCTAACAGAGGCAGAAGAGATTAAGAAGAGATGGCAAAACTACACAGAAGAACTATACAAGAATGAGCTTAACATCCCAGATAACCACAATGAGATGGTCACTGACCTCGAACCAGACATCCTAGAATGTGAAGTGAAATGGGCCTTAGAAAATCTGAGCAACAACAAAGCTAGTGGAGGTGACAGTATTCCAGCTGAGCTATTCAAAATCTTAAAAGACGATGCAGTAAAAGTGCTACACTCAATTTGCCAGCAAATTTGGAAAACTCAACAGTGGCCACAGGATTGGAAAAGGTCAGTTTACATTCCAATTCCAAAGAAAGGCAATGCCAAAGAATGTTCAAACTATCGCACCATTGCACTCATTTCACATGCTAGTAAAGTTATGCTTAAAATCCTACAAGCTAGACTCCAGCAGTATGTGGATCGAGAACTACCAGAAGTACAGGCAGGATTTCGAAGAGGCAGAGGAACTAGAGATCAAATTGCCAACATACGCTGGATCATGGAGAAAGCTAGGGAGTTCCAGAAAAACATCTACTTCTGCTTCATTGACTATGCAAAAGCCTTTGATTGTGTGGATCACAACAAATTGTGGCAAGTTCTTAAAGAGATGGGAGTACCAGACCATCTCATTTGTCTCTTGAGAAACCTATATGCGGGTCAAGAAGCAACAGTGAGAACTGGACACGGAACCACTGATTGGTTCAAAATTGGAAAAGGAGTCCGGCAAGGCTGTATACTGTCGCCCTGCCTATTTAACTTGTATGCAGAGCACATCATGAGAAAGGCAGGGCTAGATGAATCAAAAGTTGGAATTAAGATTGCCGGGAGAAATATCAACAACCTAAGATATGCAGATGATACCACTCTAATGGCAGAAAGTGAAGAGGAACTAAAGAGCCTCTTGATGCGGGTGAAGAAGGAGAGTGCAAAAGTTGGCTTGAAACTCAACATTAAGAAAACCAAAATTATGGCAACCGGCCCTCTCAATTCCTGGCAAATAGATGGGGAAGAAATGGAGGTAGTGACAGATTTTATTTTTCTGGGCTCCAAGATCACCTCAGATGGGGACTGCAGCCAAGAAATTAAAAGACGCTTGCTCCTGGGGAGGAAAGCTATGGCAAATCTAGACAGCATACTAAAAAGCAGAGACATCACCCTGCCAACAAAAGTGCATATAGTCCAGGCCATGGTTTTCCCAGTTGCAATGTATGGCTGTGAAAGTTGGACCATAAGAAAGGCTGAGCGCAAAAGAATTGAGGCCTTTGAACTATGGTGCTGGAGAAGACTCCTGCGAGTCCCTTGGACTGCAAGGCGTTCAAACCGGTCAGTCCTAGAAGAGATCAACCCTGACTGCTCTTTAGAAGGCCAGATCCTGAAGTTGAAACTCAAATACTTTGGCCACCTAATGAGAAGGAAGGACTCACTGGAAAAGGGCCTAATGCTGGGAAAGATTGAGGGCAATAGAAGAAGGGGACGACAGAGAATGAGATGGCTGGATGGAGTCACTGAAGCAGTAGGCGTGAATTTAAATGGACTCCAGAAGATGGCAGAGGACAGGAAGACCTGGAGGAACGTTGTCCATGGGGTCGCGATGGGTCGGACACGACTTCGCAATTAACAACAACAACATATAAATTAAAGTAGTAGCCTGATTTTTTACAAGCCACATAAAAGTTAAAGCAGCAAATGATAGTATGTAGAAGTTTGAGCATAAGCTTAGACAAAAGTCCTACACTTATTTGCAAAAGAATATGTGCCACAGAACATGGAGGAAATTATTTCTGAGTAAATCTTTACAAGACTGCATTATTTAATAAAAATGGAAAAGAAAAAAAATATCCATTGTTATTCCCATAAAATTAGAAACATTTGGGACAGTAACCCACTTCACTATATGTTTAACTGATTAGACAAGTATTTGTGAAGTATGATTTATTACAAAATGCTTTATGCTGTATAATATTCAGTTCTCACCACCTAATCGGCAATGTCTGCGACATATCTACACTTATGGACACACTTACTTATGGAAGACATATAGAAATTTCCTTTTGTAAATATTATAAATATCAATTTTTTAAAAAATAAAAAAAAATTATTAGGGATTTTTGAGGATTTTGATGTCAAAGAAACTATTTTAATGTTGAATTTAATTATAGCAGCAAGGCTATTGATAGGTCAATATTGGAAGAAAGATTCGTTTTCTACAATAGAAGAATGGACACTTAAGGTTTTTAATTTAGCAGAAATGGCTAAAATTTCTGCTTATTTAAAGGATCATACACAAGAAAGATATATTATGGTATGGAGAAGATTGTTGTTGTTGTTGTTGTTAATTGCGAAGACTCATTGCGACCCCATGAACGTTCCTCCAGGTCTTCCTGTCCTCTACCATCTTCTGGAGTCCAGAGCTGTCTCTTGGGTTGTTGGAAAAGAGTGTTTGTTATGACCATTGTATTCTCTTGACAAAATTCTATCAGCCTGTGCCCTGCTTCATTTTGTACTCCAAGGCCAAACTTGCCTGTTATTCCGGTTATCTTTTGGCTTCTTACCTTAGCATTCCAATCCCCCATGATGATAAGGACATCATTTTTTGGTGTTAATTCTATAAGGTGCTGTAGAGCTTCATAGAACCGGTCAATTTCATCCTCATCAGCACCAGTGGTTGGGACATAGATTTGGATTATTGTGATATTGAATGGTCTGCCTTGGATTCGAATTGAGATCATTCTGTCATTTTGGGGATTGTATTCCAGTATTGCTTTTCCTATTCTTTTATTGACTATGAAGGCTACTCCATTTCTTCTCAGGGATTCTTGCCCACAGTAGTATACCTGATGGTCATCTGAGTTAAATTCACCCATTCCTGTCCATTTTAGTTCGCTGATTCCTAAGATGTCGATGTTCAGTCTTGTCATCTCTTTTTTGACTACGTCTAGCTTGCCTTGATTCATGGATCTTACATTCCAGATTCCTATGGAGAAAAAATCTTTATAGCATCGGACTTTCCTTTCACCACCAGATATATCCACAGCTGAGCGTCCTTTCAGCTTTGGCCCAGTCGCTTCATTCTTTCTGGCGCTACTAGTACTAGCCCTCTGCTCTTCCCCAGTAGCATATTGGACACCTTCCGACCTGAGGGGCTCATCTTCCAGCATCATATCTTTTTGCCTTTTAGTACTGTCCATGGGGTTTTCATGGCAAAGATACTGGAGTGGTTTGCCATTTCCTTCTCCAGTGGATCACATTTTGTCAGAACTCTCTGCTATGACCTGTCCGTCTTGGGTGGCCCTGCATGGCATAGCTTATAGCTTCATTGAGTTACACAAGCCCCTTTGCCATAACAAGGCAGTAATCCATGAAGGGGATGGAGAAGATGGATAGATTATATTCAGATTAAATATGGAACTAAAAAGTTCCATTTATTTTATGATTAAATTTTAATATAATAAGTATTATTAATAGTATTTTATAATTGGAATTATTTAGTTTATTTATTGTTATTATGGTTTTTTTATAATAATTGTTTAAAAATGGATTTGTTTATAATATGTTATTAAGGTTTAAAGGGAGTTAAGGGTTAAGTATGAATTTAGCTGTTGTATAAATTGTTAAATTTAATTAGATTATGTTTAACATATTTGTTAAATTTAATTAGATTATGTTTAATATGTTTGTAATAACCCTGTACTCGGCTCTGGGAAGTGGGGGGGTAGGAGGGTGGGGATGGATGGGTTAGTGGGTTTATTCTGTTAATTGTTAATAAAACTTTTAAATAAAAAAAAAGAAATTTCCTTTTGTAAACATTATAAATATCAATTAGATTTCATTTACACCTGAAAGTGTGATAGAAATAAAAAAATGGTTAATATAATAATATTGGGCAGAATTCATCAGTAATCTTAAAACTAGTATCTCCAAGACAAGCAATTAAGCTTTATTAGAAACTATCATGTAGACTTCCAAAATAAGTTTCAATGTGTAGGAATCTTTTTTTTAAACTGCATTTTGCATAACAAGAGCAGGATTAACCAACTATTATTATATGACGAAAAGATTCAGAAAGGATAGGACTGGCTGTACTGGTCAACTGATATTTTCAATTCCTTAAGTTCTATCAACAAACACATGTTACTAAAATGTATAAAGAAGTACTTGTAAGTTATAATATTAAAAGGTCGCTACATACAGGTAGTCTTTGACTTTGTTTAGTGATTGAATCACTGAAAAGTATTTGGATTATTATTGATTACTGATTATTTGGAAAAATAATTACAGAATTTATAACAGTTTATTTGGAAACATTTTCTCCATCCTCTTTTCCCTTTGATTACTATTATTTTTAAACTATAGGACGTCTTGTTCCTAAAATTATAATTAACAATGCTGCCATTGTCTTGTGTGTTTTGATGAATGGTTGGCAAGAAAAAATTCTTTTTATCTCTCCCTTTTAAGATAGATATTAAGCATAACATCATGCTGAAATTAATAACATACCTGTGATACAAAGGGCCTGGGAGGTAGAGCAGGTGGTGGTGGTATCCAGCCTGATCTAACTGTTAAAACCAAAGGACAAAAATAATACATATGAATGTAATGGGTAGCCATATGTGTCTAGCAGGACAATTTAACTTCACAAAAGTTAATTTAATAATACAAACTTGAACAATTTGTTACCATACTTCCGTACACATACACACACACACAAACTCAAATACCACCCAGAGTTGGACTGAAATGGGTGGCTACAGAAATTGTAATAAATATACATACATACATACATACACACATACACACGTGTGTGTATATATAATAAAATACTACAAGTCAATATTGATTCAGTTAAATATTGGCAAAACATATATATGCCCTGTCAGCTACACTTTTAGAAAGGAAATAGAAATGAAATAGAAATAGAAGCAAAATTCCAGTATCAGCATTAATATTATATAAATATTAGAAACCATTAAAAAAATGGGATTATATGAAAAAGTAAAATTATATAGATAAGATTTGTTGTTGTTGTTGTTAATTGTGAAGTCGTGTCCGACCCATCGCGACCCCATGGACAACGTTCCTCCAGGCCTTCCTGTCCTCTACCATCTTCTGGAGTCCATTTAAGTTCACACCTACTGCTTCAGTGACTCCATCCAGCCATCTCATTCTCTGTTGTCCCGTTCTTCTATTGCCCTCAATCTTTCCCAGCATTAGGCCCTTTTCCAGTGAGTCCTTCCATCTCATTAGGTGGCCAAAGTATTTGAGTTTCAACTTCAGGATCTGGCCTTCTAAAGAGCAGTCAGGGTTGATCACTTCTAGGACTGACCGGTTTGAACGCCTTGCAGTCCAAGGGACTCGCAGGAGTCTTCTCCAGCACCATAATTCAAAGGCCTCAATTCTTTTGCGCTCAGCCTTTCTTATGGTCCAACTTTCACAGCCATACATTGCAACTGGGAAAACCATGGCCTGGACTATACGCACTTTTGTTGGCAGGGTGATGTCTCTGCTTTTTAGTATGCTGTCTAGATTTGCCATAGCTTTCCTCCCCAGGAGCAAGCGTCTTTTAATTTCTTGGCTGCAGTCCCCATCTGAGGTGATCTTGGAGCCCAGAAAAATAAAATCTGTCACTACCTCCATTTCTTCCCCATCTATTTGCCAGGAATTGAGAGGGCCGGATGCCATGATTTTGGTTTTCTTAATGTTGAGTTTCAAGCCAACTTTTGCACTCTCCTTCTTCACCCGCATCAAGAGGCTCTTTAGTTCCTCTTCACTTTCTGCCATTAGAGTGGTATCATCTGCATATCTTAGGTTGTTGATATTTCTCCCGGCAATCTTAATTCCAACTTTTGATTCATCTAGCCCTGCCTTTCTCATGATGTGCTCTGCATATAAGTTAAATAGGCAGGGCGACAGTATACAGCCTTGCCGGACTCCTTTTCCAATTTTGAACCAATCAGTGGTTCCGTGTCCAGTTCTCACTGTTGCTTCTTGACCCGCATATAGGTTTCTCAAGAGACAAATGAGATGGTCTGGTACTCCCATCTCTTTAAGAACTTGCCACAATTTGTTGTGATCCACACAATCAAAGGCTTTTGCATAGTCAATGAAGCAGAAGTAGATGTTTTTCTGGAACTCCCTAGCTTTCTCCATGATCCAGCATATGTTGGCAATTTGATCTCTAGTTCCTCTGCCTCTTCGAAATCCTGCCTGTACTTCTGGTAGTTCTCGATCTACATACTGCTAGAGTCTAGCTTGTAGGATTTTAAGCATAACTTTACTAGCATGTGAAATGAGTGCAATGGTGCGATAGTTTGAACATTCTTTGGCATTGCCTTTCTTTGGAATTGGAATGTAAACTGACCTTTTCCAATCCTGTGGCCACTGTTGAGTTTTCCAAATTTGCTGGCAAATTAAGTGTAGCACTTTTACTACATCGTCTTTTAAGATTTTGAATAGCTCAGCTGGAATACTGTCACCTCCACTAGCTTTGTTGTTGCTCAGATTTTCTAAGGCCCATTTCACTTCACATTCTAGGATGTCTGGTTCGAGGTCAGTGACCATCTCATTGTGGTTATCTGGGATGTTAAGCTCATTCTTGTATAGTTCTTCTGTGTAGTTTTGCCATCTCTTCTTAATCTCTTCTGCCTCTGTTAGGTCTCTGCCATTTTGGTCCTTTATCATGCCCATCTTTGCATGAAACGTTCCCTTCATATCTCCAATTTTCTTGAAGAGATCTCTGGTCCTCCCTATTCTGTTGTTTTCTTCTATTTCTTTGCACTGTTCATTTAAGAAGGCATTCTTATCTCTTCTAGCTATTCTCTGGAATTCTGCATTCAATTGGGTGTATCTTTCTCTTTCTCCTTTGCCTTTCGCTTCCCTTCTTTCCTCAGCTATTTGCAAAGCTTCCTCAGACAGCCATTTTGCTTTCTTGCATTTCTTTTTCTTTGGGATGGTTTTAGTTGCTACCTCTTGTACAATGTTGCGAACTTCCAGCCATAGTTCTTCAGGCACTCTATCAGATCTAATTCCTTAAATCTATTTGTCACCTCTACTGTATATTCATCAGAAATATGATTTAGTTCATACCTGAGTGGCCTAGTGCTTTTCCCTACTTTTTTCAATTTAAGCCTAAATTTTGCAACAAGAAGCTCATGATCTGAGCCACAGTCAGCTCCTGGTCTTGTTTTTACTGACTGTATAGAGCTTCTCCATCTTTGGTTGCAGAGCACATGGTCAATCTGATTTCTATGTTGACCATCTGGTGATGTCCATTTGTAGAGCCGTCTCTTGGGTTGTTGGAAAAGAGTGTTTGTTATGACCATCGTATTCTCTTGACAAAATTCTATTAGCCTGTGCCCTGCTTCATTTTGTACTCCAAGGCCAAACTTGCCTGTTATTCTGGTTATCTGTTGGCTTCCTACCTTAGCATTCCAATCCCCCATGATGATAAGGACATCATTTTTTGGTGTTAATTCTATAAGGTGCTGTAGGGCTTCATAGAACCGGTCAATTTCATCCTCTTCAGCACCAGTGGTTGGGGCATAGATTTGGACTACTGTGATATTGAATGGTTTGCCTTGGATTCGAATTGAGATCATTCTGTCATTTGGGGATTGTATCCCAGTATTGCTTTTCCTATTCTTTTATTGACTATGAAGGCTACTCCATTTCTTCTGAGGGATTCTTGCCCACAGTAGTATACCTGATGGTCATCTGAGTTAAATTCACCCTTCCTGTCCATTTTAGTTCGCTGATTCCTAAGATGTCGATGTTCAGTCTTGTCATCTCTTTTTTGACTACATCTAGCTTGCCTTGATTCATGGATCTTACATTCCAGGTTCCTATGGAGAAAAAATCTTTACAGCATCGGACTTTCCTTTCACCACCAGATATATCCACAGCTGAGCATCCTTTCGGCTTTGGCCCAGTTGCTTCATTCTTTCTGGCGCTACTAGTACTAGCCCTCTGCTCTTCCCCAGTAGCATATTGGACACCTTCCGACCTGAGGGGCTCATCTTCCAGCGTCATATCTTTTGCCTTTTAGTACTGTCCATGGGGTTTTCATGGCAAAGATACTGGAGTGGTTTGCCATTTCCTTCTCCAGTGGATCACATTTTGTCGGAACTCTCTGCTATAACCTGTCCATCTTGGGTGGCCCTGCACGGCATAGCTTATAGCTTCATTGAGTTACGCAAGCCCCTTCGCCACGACAAGGCAGTAATCCATAAAGGGGATAGATAAGATTATTGAATATAATTAGAGATACTATGGCACTTGTTCTATTATGTTTTATTTTAAAATTTGTATGAATAGATTAATTAACTAAATAGGAAAGATTAATGAAATAATATTTATTAAACGATTTGTAAGTTATCAAGAAAAATTCCTAAACTTATAAAATATTCAGTACTGTTTCTATTGCATCAGAATGATATGATGCAGATCAAATGTCAAACTCATACATTTTTAATATTCACATTGGTTTTAACTACATGGCAGATATCACATTTAATATGACAATCAAGTTACTGAAAGCTAAGGTGACCAATCGTCCTCCTTTAGGGAGGACAGCCCTTTTGTAAATTTTGTCCTCTCTCGAAAAGTGTCCTCCTACATGTCCTCCTTTTTGATATTTGAAGACTAATCTGTAAATCTCCATATTCGATCGATGCCAATCCGATCCGCTGCGTGTGATGTGATGTATTTGACATGACGATTCATCAAAGCTCGGTACAGTGCAGCGAGACGCGATTATGAGATGCATGCACCCAGCACAGGAGAATTGTTTTGAGAGAGTGCGCCATGCGCAAGAGTTCGCCACACGCAAGTGGCTTTATTTCTTACCGAAACACAACACGGCACACATGCACGCATTAGACTCACTTCTTTCTCAGTGAATATTCAATCATACACAGGTGAGCACAATAATTCACATTTTATTAATTCATTATCTATTTAATAATTTCCAAATATGTATAATTTCATTAACAAGTTTATTTGCTTATGTTATTGTTTCAGTTTTAATAATTAATTTTATTTATTCATAATGAATGTTCTTGCATTGTTCGTGTAGCACTATATTTTATTTTTAATTTTAAATTTCATTTAGGGATGCAAAAATCAAAAAAGAGGAAATGCCATTTCAACGATAAATTGAATAAGGAATTTCCATTCCTCATATCAAAGAAGGATAACATTGTTTTCTGCAATATTTGCAGTGGAGAATTTTGTATTGCAGTTGGGGGAAGAGCAGCTATTACGAAACACTTGACCACCAAGAAACATAAGCAATCATCAGATGCATCTGCTTCCAATTGTAAAGTAACAAGTTTTTTTTAAAACTTCAAAGTATTCTGAAGATAAAAAACAGCTGCAATGGAGGGAACATTTGCATTCATTACCATACCATAATTCACAATCAAAATTTTCGTAGTATGGATTGTACAACTAAATTATTGAAAAAGTTTCACGATGCTAAATTTTCATGCACCAGGACAAAATACGAGGCTATTATTAAATCAGTATTTAAAAATTACTGTGACAAAATACTTACAGAAGA